TCCTGAATTCCACTATTTCCATAGAAACACCTACATTGCATGAATTCAATGAGATTAAGTCACAATTCAATCATTTTGCTTGTATTTAAGTCATGTTTGTAATCTAAATAAGTGTGCAAAAACACACTTATCAATGAGGCCAAACTTGAACTATTGTTTATCCTCAAACAAGATGGTGACTTAATTCTGAACAAACGTGGCTTAACACCTTGCCTTGGCTCAGGATTGGACTAAGTAATTGATTTTATGAAAATTTATCAGTGTAAAATGACATCAACCTTTACCTGTTAAATGCATACTTGACATGTGTGTGTGGATTCACGCTAACATATCAAGTTCATGATGAGTTTGAGTCCCGACCCCAAAGTGGTCAAATATATCCTTACTCGCTCGAGAGATACACAACCCCCAAACTTATTCTTTTCACTCAATAATCCCGGGGTTGCGTTTTAAATTTGGAGTTTACATAGCTCTATTTCTCACCCTCTCGTAGTTTGGCTTAATCTCACTATCACAAGTTTACATGTCAACCAGTGAAGGCTCTCCTAAGTTTTGATTGCTTCGACACTCAAGATTAAACTAGGCTACTTGCCTTGCCTCAAAGGTATAGTTTCTTCCACCAAATGTCCAAAAGGGCTTTTCTTCATGTTTTTGTCTCTATTTTGTTTTTCTCACTTTTCTCTAATTCTCTGAAATTCTCTTTTTTTTATGTTTTTGTCTCTTTTTTTTTTTTCTCACTTTTCTCTAATTCTCTGAAATTCTTTTTTTTTTCATCATCTTCTCATTTGCTTTCTATATAACCCATGTAACGAGCTTTAGGCCGGTGACTTCCAAACTAGTTAGCTTTAGGGCACCAGGTTTTTAAACCCTTACAGGCTTATTCACTCGAGTTATAAAGGCTCGATCAGATGACTTTTTATTAACCTCTTTCCCTCTTGCTTTCTTTATGACCCATGTATCGAGCTTTAGGCCGGTGACTCCCAGACCAGTTGACCTTAGGGCACCAGATTTTAAAATATCCTTACAGGCTTACTTGCTCGAGTCATAAAGGCATGAAAAGAAGTGTCTTATTCTCGTATATTAATTTTATGCCCTTTGTTGTTTTTTTGGACATTTAGTTTCCAAAACCAACCCCCAATTTAAGATTTTCACCTACTCTTCATCCCACTGGTCTAGGCAATCCACACAATAAAATTCATGCACGGAACCCCCGCTCATCTCAATGCTCCTCTATAATAGCTCAATTATCACCAAACTGTATTAAGGTGGTTTACGGGTTAATTTAATAGAGGGTTATCATTCTTTTCCTACTTTATACTCAAAACCCCAATCACTAACCTAACATGTAAAGCATGAATGGCGTGCATAAAGAATGTCAAGTATTACATCAACAAGTATTGGCCAATTTATTTAGCACTATGTCCACAGTTTGTAAATTATAC